AAAACTATTCCTTTGTTCCAACTGTCAATTACATAGAAAAAATTGGACCAAGTTTAATTTACTAGTAAAGTTAACCACTGAGTAGCAATTTGAGTAACAAGCAAAAACTGTTTTACAGAACCATCCACAAAACTATCAGCTTTTCTAAAAATTTTGTCGACCTTTTTTGTCGACTGAATTGATTTTCCGAGATGTCCCGATACAGAATTAGGACACTTTTTTGAGAAATATCCGAGCCGCAGTGAAAGTTTTGAAAATAGTACAGAGACTTGAAGTGACGTTGTTAAGAGCAAATTGAATGAATTGATGAAAAAAAAACTGCGTTTTTGAGCCCGCAATTTTCCCTCAAACTAATTTTAGAGTGACTCTTTAAAAACTTTTAGGTTTCGGTCAGTCGGTAATGAGTATCACTTAAATAGTGTCAAAGAAGGGACTCTTTGAGTTATCAGTGGGTCGCATACTTAAAAAAAGGGCAATCGCAGACCCCTAACTTTCTACTGCTAAACATAACAAACTTTGTTCAAGAGGAGTTTGTACAAAAATTCAAAATTGTAACATTTTCGTAGATTTCATCTCAGTTCAGAAATTTTTTTTCATTGAATGCCCATTCGGAAACTGCATTCAATGTCTATTTTTTAAAATGACTAACAAAACAATGATAGCCAGTTGCTATGCAGGTAGCACAGGCAGTTCTGACCACAATAAAAAACTGAAAAGGGTAATTTTTTTATTCCATTTGTGTCGTTTTTTGATGTGGCGTTGAAATGAGAGGTTCTGAAAGAAAGCGTAGAAATTAGCGTAACTGATAGTTATACTAAGTTAGGGTAACAGACAAGATATTTTCTCAAAAAAAAAGAGTTCATAAAAACGAAAAAAAAATCAGTTTAACATTTTTTGCAATCAAATTTTCTGATTTCCAAAAAAGAAAGTTTTAAAGGAAACTTCGAAACCAAGTATTAGTGGAGTAATACACAGTCTTTACGGTTGTACTCAAAAATTAGTCATTAGACCGCAACGCAAAATTAGTTCAACGGCTTCAAAATAATAGTTGAGCGGCTGTTACAATTCCATCTTCGTTTCGACGCATTTTTCGAACCGAAACTTCGAACCGAAAATTGGAAACTATTTCGAAAATTTTTTAACATCGTTTAAATCACAACGCAAGGAGCTTTCATATGATATATCACCTTTCTAATGATTATTCGTGGTTTCTGATGTTGCGTGGTATTCTTCCGTAGTTCATCTAATTCATACTCAATGTGTATGATTGCCGCTTCAAAAAAGTTGACAGGGTGCTTTGGCGTCTATCAATTTAGCAAAAGGGGAAATAATGTTGGAAAAATTTGTTTTTCACTCGCGGCTCGAGAAACCTCGAGCAACACCGGTAAGGGGTCAAAAGTATTTCAAAATATTAGATTCGAAGGAGCCTTTTTTAACCAACTTGAGCAATTTTCAGAGTTTTTAATGATTTTTTTTCCGATATTTTCAAAGTATTATCTACAAGATAAACAAACAAGGCTTAATTAGTTATTAAGTTCCGAAGCGACATTCGTCTTTGAAATTTATTAGCAAGAACTTTTTTTATATGCCTGAACTTTTTTTGCAAAAACTTTAGAGAGTTCTTTAGTTGCATGCCAACTGCCTGCTTTTTTCAAGCTTCATTTTCATATCGTGGCCCGAATCAATAGATGCTATCTGACTAATGCACTTTGTGACAATGCCGATACCGAAAACGATATAGAAAAAAGGTAACGACAAAAGCAGGCCTTTGTTTGATTTCCAAACTCCATTTAATATATGACTGACCAATTTCATTGCAGTTTTTTTGTTAAAAAAAACGATTTCTTTTTGGAACAAAAACAGCAATTATACCTCGTGTAGAAACCTTAAAAAATCACACACAAGAAGTGAGGTTGCCGCAGTTACGTGCATTTTCACAACATGTGTTTTTTTAGCCTTTTCAATTATGAACTGATATTTTTTCATCCAGTCAAATAGTTATCGACACAATACCCAATAGCTCGCCTTAATCAAAACTTGAATGACTTGAATCGGAATAATTCAACGCTTACCTGATATTTTAACTGGTTCCAAAAATTTCGTCGAGTTGAAAAAGGAAACACAATTAATCCGTTACTTTCATCTAAATTCAGGGGCATCACATTAGCCTATTTCAAAACGTCCAGCAACGATTTTAGCATATATTAGCATATACTTCAATAACACAGACAACAGCAGGTTTTAAAAATGTATAAGAACAAGGAAACAAAAAATGAATAAAAAAGTTTGCGAGAAAATAAATCAAGTTGAACCTCTGTGAAGCTCAAGAAAATTTCATGATTGACACTTTTTGATGCAATCAAATCAAATAAGAAAAGTTGATCATTTGGTAAGTTGAGTTCTTCGGGGAAATCTTGACGTTATAACTTTTCAAACTAGAAATTGATCACGGTTTGTCGCGACTTTCCGCCTTGGTAATTAGGGAGCGAAATTTTCCTAACTTTTAGCAGATGAGTCTTAAATGATCCTAAAACTTGCATATTTATTTAAGTACATTCCTTAATTTTTTAATAGGCATGAATGCACAGCTGTAGTTTTAAGAGCATGTTAGGACTGTTCTGGAAAACCGGCAAACAAAAATCACCAAGATCTAAATTAGTGGAACCCATTTCGTTCTTGTACACTAAAATTTAGCCAACACAATTGGAAACTTTTCCATGAAAGCAACATAACAAAAAAAACATACTGACCTGAAAAAAAAAAAGACATCCGAATACAAAGTTCCTCCCCATTTCCAACAAGCAACATTGGCATATAGTCAACACAGCTGGAAAAGAGACAATGAACGCTAATAAATAGAGATAGTGTTTTGTTTTTTGAAAATCTTATATTGAGGAAAAAATTAAATAGACTTAGAACTCTTTAAATTTTAAGAAGAATTTTTTATTGAAAACTTTTGGATTAAATTAACCCTATATGACAAAACTGGATCAAAATTGAAATATTCATTTCGCTGGGAAATCTGATAATAAACTCGACTACATTTTTCTGACTACATTTTGAAATCTGACTACATTTTTCTTGACCTTCATGATGGAAGGCCGGGAGAAAGACCTGCCTCGGCGATCAACCGGACTTGAAACTGCTGCAGACGGCCCCCGAGAACGTGCTGAAGTTTGTTCAGAAGACTGGGCTTTCCTAGCCCCCTATTTCAAGATAAAAGGCAGTCACACACAACACAACAACAACATGACCTTCGCGTTTTCGTTGTTCGATAGAAAAGTTTGCTTTTCTTTTAACAAAGGAAATAAACTGAACTTCTGGCGAAACAGTAATTTTGAGCCTAAACAAATGTTAGTTTTTACTGGAAAAAAATTTGAAGCGACCAAATTAAGAGTTTTAAATAAGCGCATCGACTGTTGAAAATTGTCCCTAAGGCTCTACCATCTTCATGAACAATTTAGGATTGACGCTTTCTTGACGCAATTAACCTAATTTGAGAAAATTGGATTAATAGGCAATTTCTTTATTGCGCTGGGAAATCTCTCAATTAAAGTCCACTTTCGAAACTAAGTCGATTAAGTGTTTCGTGACCTTTACACTTTTTCTGTTCGATAGTGAAGCTTGAATCTTTTTTACAACGGAATTGGATTGAACTTACAAAGAAATCACAAGTCAAACTAAAGAAATCGAAACTAAGGGTGATTTTTTTTTGAAAAAATCTATCACGACCTACAAAAGAGTCCTTCACGACGTTCATTGACACTTATAAACTGAATTTAAGCGTATGGCGTCGGGATGAAAGAAAAATGAATACTTATCATACACAGAGGCGAAGTTGCACTTCGCATATAAAAGCAAAAAGATGCACGATAACGCTAATAACAGACACAAGCTAATTACGACGCATTAGCAGTACCAGTCAATTTGAAAAAAAAAATTTACCAATTGCACATGCCTCAATTTATAGAGCGGACGCATTTTAGCTAGTATACGAAAAAACATTTAAAACATCCGACCCTGGCCAGGTTCGACCCTTCTATTTTGTTGCGGGTCTCCTCGCTACCTCTACGCTACAGATCAATGCTACCTTGAAGCTAAATTGCTATTTGTAATACAAAACTGCTCGTATCAGGGCCAAACCCTGAATCTTCTGATTGCCTTTTTAAGTCTATGGAGCAGTTATAACATGAAAAAATTAAATGTTTATTGAAGTAAAATGAATTTTTTTTAAATTCAAGATTTTTGTGAAAATCAATCCCCCACACAAAGTGATAACTTCCGCTCCTAGTAACAAATCAATTATGGCAAATAAACTTCCTTCAACCATTTTGGAACGATTTCTAAGACGGATTAAATCTCCGCTTACGCGTTAATAGCACGAAATTTATCTCGCATTAATTTTCCCAGATTGACCAAAAGGGTAACTTTTAAACCTCCATAATTTTGCAAAAAATGATCACAGGTGAAATATATTTGCAAATTTAAGCTCAAGACCACAATACCTTTTGAATGATACAAACAAATTCTGTCAAAAATGGCTAGTTAAAAAGTCGAAATTTGTCTGAAAAAAAAACCACCCCGAGCACAAATATTCCGTTACGAAAGTCGGAACAATAAGAGTCTTTGTTAATATCCTTAGCATTGGCTGTACTTAATAGCTGGTTATTGATCAAAATGAACACATTTTATTGCAACAATATTTGCGTCGCAACAATATTTGTGTCTTCGGTTGGAAAAAAAAGAGCTCATACTATAACTTGTGTAAACATAACTACTGAATTTACCTGTATTTCATTTGAGCATTCTAAATTTCGTATATTTGTCAAGCTTTTAGCGTTGTATTTCTGCTATTTGTCAAATTAACCCGTCGAAAAAAAAACTAACAAATTCTCACTCCTGTTGTGAACTCTAATTAAGTTCAATTGTTTTTTGTGTGCTTCAACTTCAATCATCCATCAAATTCTTCAATTCTTAAGACAGTTTATAAGAAAAAAACATAGTTATCAAATGTTAATTCAAGTTTCCATGTTACAATTTAGTGGATCACATCTATATAGACATCCAGTTTTCGTTGTGAGTCCGCATTATTCAGTTGTGAGTCGCGTCTAGGGCGTTACTTGATCCATATTCATAATCACTATTTAATCCTGTGCAGGGTCGAATGACTCCATGAAAGATTCTACTATCGACTTCAGCTTTGTCTCCAGCTCTTCAGTCAAGCTACCAGTCCCTTTCAATTTGCTCAAGAAATCTTGCTGAGCTGACGTAATATGTGCCATGAATTTCTAAACGTACATATTATTACTACACATACTTAACACCAAATTGTTGGCAATATCTTTTTCGATCAACGAATCTGAACGAAGCTAATTAACCTATAATTGCTCATTTTGCCTTCAGAACGCATTTTTTCATTATTTCAAAGCTCACAAAAAAACATTTTAAAAAATCTGTTTAACCTACAAAACCCATTTTTTGACCAAAAAAACTCATTAATTTTACAGATATCAATTTCCATTTTTCAAAAAATTTCCATTATTTTTTTTACGCACAGCGAGGTATTTAACTAATAGTTATATATAGTCAAAAATTTCCCAAAAAAAAACTTTTTTCATTTAGTAGAGAGCCGGGTTAGTTTTACCTTTTCAAACTTGGTAATATGACTTGGCTCCATTTTGTCCAAATATCCCCTCACTCCAGTGTAGATGACAGCCACTTGTGTCTCGATACTCATCGGCACATACTGGCCCTGTTTAAGCAACTCAGTCAGTCTAGTTCCCCTGTTCAACAAATTCTGTGTGGCCTGGTCCAGATCAGATCCGAATTGGGCGAAGGCTGCCACTTCTCGGTACTGAGCCAGTTCGAGTTTCATGGATCCTGCCACTTGTTTCATGGCTTTGGTCTGGGCGGCAGACCCTACACGTGATACGGACAGACCGACGTTGATGGCTGGTCGGATACCTTTGTAGAACAATTCCGTCTCTAAGAAGATCTAAAAACAAACAGCCCAGCCTCAGATTGAGATTTGCTTTAAAAACAGAGTCAACGCAGACGGAAAAGAGTCAATGAACGCAAGGAAACAGAAAAAAGACAGATTTTTTTAAAAAAAAAAACTCAATTTTCGAATTTCAAAGAAAAAACAGACGGACATAAAGCTCTTTAGAACAATCATGACTGACAATTTTTTCAAAGAATTAACCCAATTTGATAAAACTGGATCAAGAGGTGAAATTTTTAGTTCGCTGGGAAATCTGATAACTAAACTGCACTTTTAGAAAATGAACGTCGATCACGTTTTTCGTGACCTGTACACTTTTGCTATTCGATAGTGCAGTTTGCCTTCCTTTTAGCCAAAGAAATGAACTCAACCTTTAAAAAAAAAAAGTAAAATGGTCAAAAATCAAATTTTGAGAGCCTTCACTATGTTCGCGACTCTTAAAGAAGACCTCCTCGGCAGCAAAACTTTGTGAAATCAAGAAACCTTAAAGCTTCCCAGTAAGGTAAAACAATGCTGTTTCTAGTAACACGTTTAAAACATTGAAAAAGAGCTCAATGTATTTTTCATAAAACTGTTTTGTTTTAACTGCGAGCATGCTCTTTACAAAACTGGAACTTCAATATCATGTTACATTTTGCTCTTGCTGCAGTTTAATAGCAAACCATAATATAATTAGTCCGTGCTTTATCTGCATTGAATATCCAGTAGATAGTTATTGAACGAATGACTCTTTTGCATAACTCGAATACGATTTACTTTTATATTAAAAGAAGATAAAAATCTCAAGGCCCAGCCACTAAATCTTTCAGGAATGAGACATACATTTTGAACTGTGCAATTGCTTTGCTTTTAGTAGGAGCTGCTTCGACGAAAATGAACTTAAATTATGTACATGCCGTTTCGCTGCATACATAGTACTTAATTACAGTGGGATATTCCGAAATTTTATTTGAGAGGAATTCATTTTTTCTATAAAATTTCGAAGTATATCACCCATGTTTGTTTGAATTTGCCAAATACCCTATTTAACTACCATTTTAGAAGTTTTTCTGCAATAATTAGCCAAAAATTGATTTTCCTGGTCCGAAGATATTATAAATTCATCATTTCATCTTAGTTAACTTTTTTAAAAGTGAAACTCGACAAAAATTAAAATAACAAATTATTTTCAATTATTAAGCAACGTAAATTGAAGCTCTGTTTCTTACTGTCGATTTGATAATCAAACAGGTACTAAAAACATATCAAGTCAAGAAAAAATCATGAAAATATACTTCAGGGTTTTCACAGGGTTTTAAACAAAAATTAGTTACTCTGATTCAAATCTTGTCAATTAAAACAACAGAATCCATGGCATGCATTACTGATCCAAAACGGCAACGCGTCGCTAAAAAGCCTACAAGTGCACGTGGGTCACTGTTAATTCTAACCGTTAAAGGCTGAAAATAACCTTGACCAATTTGTTCATCAACAAATTCTCACCTGTCCGTCAGTGATGGAGATCACGTTAGTTGGGATGTAAGCCGACACGTCTCCGGCCTGGGTCTCAATCACCGGAAGAGCAGTTAGGGATCCTCCTCCGTTTGTGTCATTCATCTTTGCCGCTCTCTCCAACAGTCTCGAGTGCAGGTAGAACACATCACCAGGGTAGGCCTCTCGTCCTGGGGGTCTTCGGAGCAGCAGGGACATCTGTCGGTACGCCACAGCCTGCTTGGACAGATCGTCGTAGATGATGAGGCCATGTTTGCCGTTGTCTCGGAAGTATTCTCCCATCGCACAGCCCGAATAGGGTGCAATATACTGGAGGGGAGCGGCGTCTGAGGCAGTTGCCGAGACGATGATCGAGTACTGCATGGCCCCTGAAACAAAAAAAAACAAAAATGAGGACCACAATTTAGACTTTTAACAAGCTTCAACACAGAAGTGAAGCTGCGTTTCGCAAACACTAGCGAGAACACAAATAAGCAGCTTTATAATGTGAAATAAGAAAAAAAACGTCAACAAAAGCTTTGAAATTCAACAACTTTTGCTGTGGCGGATTCGCTTCTATGACCAGGAGATTTACAGTCCCCTGTCCTCCCATCTGCGCCACGGGCCATACTAACAATAGCCACAAATAAAGCAGCTACATATGCTAATATATTGCCACTGCGATGCAGAAAAAGTGACACGGAATACAAATGGACACAGTTTTTCAGGCAATAAATTGGAAAGCATAAAGCCAAATGATGCATTTCAAAAATTAGCGATATGAATTGAGTTGGAACTCAATTGAGTTGGAATTGAGTTGTTTGTTTGAAACAAAAAATTTTTTTTTCGTTTCATTTGATGAATTAAAAATGCATCAATTTGTTACTTTATTACTGATCGATTGTCAAAGCACATTATCAAAACGCCAATAAAATGCCACGAAAAATGCATCAATATTTGCGTCTTAGGTTGGAAAAAAATAGTCGTAACAAGTGAAATGACGTTATCCGTATTGATGTGTAAGACGCATTACGAAAAACTTAAGGCAAAACTTCTAGGAATCCGAATGTTGTCTTTATACAGAAAAACTAAAACCGAAAAATCAAATTTAATTAAGGATAGCTTGTTGCGACATAGAAGGTTCCGGATCTAATCTTATAAACGCTACATAAAAGATTTTTCAAATTTTATTTCATTTTTTTTTGTGCGTGGTATGATAAGAATCTGAACAAAAACTAGTTTTAAGGCATTTCCGATATTCATAGCAAAATAAGCATGGAAAACAATTTTTTGGCTTACAGCTTGTTTTATCGTCCCAAAGAAAAAAAATTTGGCTTACTGCTGATTTGCGACGATACTTCTATTATAAGCCTCCTCGCTAGCTTTACTCACTCGAAACTATATGAAATAAACAGAAACTCAAACCGGTTTTTCTCGACACTGGGAAAACTTTTTTGAAGTTTTTTAGCTTCGTTCGAATCAAAAAGGCTTCCAATATGATATACCTTTCAAAACACACAGATGAAAATTTGCGTGGAAAACAAAGAAAAACTAAACACACCCGAAAATAAAGTTCCTCCCCAATTTTAATTGCAAGGATAAAATAATCAAGACATTCACAAAATCAAAACAGAGCTTTAAAATGCAAGAAAATACAAAAAACTAAATCAGCTTTCAAAAAGGAAAAGCTACCTATGGTATTTATCCCCGCCTTACTGAGTTGTAGTCTTATGCCATCACAGCAAAGCTATGGAACCCAATAAACATTTAGCAAAAAATGCACCAAAAGTCCATGCACTAAAATAAACGAAACAAAATTACCTAATTCGAAAAACTGGAGCGTTAGGATAAGTTTTTATTCCGCTTATCTAAAAATTAAATTCCACATTCGAAAGTACATTTTGATCTCATTTCCTCTTTCGTAACTGGAGAACGAATTTTGACTGCATCTAGCAAATGAACTTCAATTAAACTCTAAGTACCCAGATACATTAGGGCATTCATAAATTCCTTAACATGCATGAATGCATTTATACATTCATTAGCAAATTCTAAGCCCTATAGACACAGAGGCGAAGCGGAACTTAGCAACACTTGCGATACAACAATTATAGGATGAGTGAACCATGGCTCTAAAAAGTTAGCAAACAGAACTTCGAATTAAGTCACAATTGAAGAAGGAAGTGTAAAAACAAGAAAAACAAAAAAGCATTTTTTTTGTGTTTGAATTTTTCAAGTTATTCAAAATAATTCTAGTGGCGTTGAACTAGGCCATTCAAAAAACTACCCAAAGCCCTATGATTATACATACAATATTCTGATTTCTAGATATAGCATGAGTAGTAACTAGTACACGGTAGTTAAATTTGAATTTTCGTAAAATTGAGCATGTCAGTAGCATAAGTGATTCAATTAGTTTTGTTAAACTAGTTGTTAACCAGAAAAAAGTATATATTCCAATTTAATAACGCTTGCTGATCGCAAGCGTAAAAATTGGTTTTTTAATGCTTGTCTGGAATACGGGTAATTTTAAGGACAAAGACTGAGAACCCTAACTGCCAGTCCTAGATAAGCATTAAAAAAGTCAAATTCATTAAGCGGATACTGAGCAGACCTTGGGTTGACGACTGTTGAACCAAAAAAAGCTGAGCTATAAACATTTTGAACCATAAAAATTACCCGAAAAAAACGGAGCTTCAAAACATTTGGAGCCAGAAAAAAAAATCATTCGTTTTACTAACCCTACACTTTCTAAGCACAATGAATTTTAAAAAACGTGCGACCTTCAAACGGCGAATTATGAGCCAGCTAAACAGATGCATCAGCCGAAACATTTAAGTCATAAAAACAAAGTGAAAAAAAATTAACCGATAATAATTCGATTGGAACGGCCATTTAAAATCCAAACATGCTCAAAAATTATCCATTGACAGACATTCTGTTCTGTTGCTATCAGCACAGCCGTGCTAACTGATTCAATTGATTTTAAAATAGTTGTTAACCCAAAAAATTCTATATTTCGATTTTCGATTTGACAACCCTTGCTAAATGCAAGCTCAATAAGAGCAGCCTGAACTAAGCTCAGAGACTCTTAAAAAAGATTGATCAAAAATTAGACCAAATCATTTTGAACCTTATTAAGTGGCCAACCGGCTCTCCCCCCCCCCCCCCAAGAGATAGTATCTTGTTACCTGCGTCCGTCAATCTCTTCACCAGTTGGGCTACTGTACTTCTCTTCTGTCCAATGGCCACATAGATACAGTACAGCTTCTTCTTCTCATCATCTCCGTCGTTAAACCTCTTCTGGTTGATAATGGTGTCAATGGCAACTGCAGTTTTTCCGGTCTGTCGATCTCCGATGATCAACTCTCGCTGGCCTCGACCGATGGGCACCAGACTGTCTACGGCTTTGATGCCCGTCTGCATGGGTTCTTTCACTGAGATCCTAGGGATGATGCCAGGCGCTTTCAAGTTCACTCGTCGCCTCAGTTTGGAGTTAATCGGACCCTAGAGTAACGAATATTGGAATTATTTCTATGCAAGCATCATATGCAGCGTTGTCAATCTTACAAACGAGCAAAGGCGAAGGTGACCAAATCGCAAAATCGAGCCAAGACAAAAGCCGAGCTAACTTCATTGCTTTCGATTTAAGATTCAGCCCAGAAAATTTCAACTATTTTCATGATTTTATGATGATAATTGCTTGAATAACTGACCTTTCCATCAATAGGCTGTCCCAGTGCGTCAACAACGCGACCCAGCAACTCTGGTCCGACAGGTACATCAACGATGGCTCCAGTCCTCTTAACAACATCGCCTTCCTTGATGAGCTTGTCATTTCCCAAAACCACAATACCTACATTGTCCGGTTCCAAGTTCAAGGCCATTCCCTTCAAACCTGAAGAGAACTCCACCATCTCTTCAGCTTGCACGTTGTTTAGGCCATACACACGTGCGATTCCGTCTCCGATGGAGAGCACACGTCCGATTTCTTCTACATCGACCTTCTCCTTGTGTCCGGCTATTCTCTGTTCCAGAATAGCTGACACCTCGGCCGAACGGAGACGTGAGGTCGTCGAAAAGTTTCGCAGAGCTAGCGAGGTGTTGGCATTCGACTGCAAAAAATGGGTAGCTATTTTACAGATAAGCCGAAAGCTAAATTATTATCTAAGTTTCATTTTTTTTCATAAACTTTGAAACCACGAATGTGTTTCTCGGTAGCATTCGTGCCTTTCATCTCGCCCTCGAAACCGATAGAATTGTATGATAGATTGAATAATAAAGGAATACTTACAGCTCTGACAACCCTTGAAAACGCTTTGGAGGCCATTTGCAATTTCTGAAATGAGTAAACAATTGTTCAAAAGCAAAACATTTAACTTTTCAAATTCAAAACAAAAAACGACAACTGAGGTTAACTAATGATATCATTCAACTATATTGCACAAACTAAACATCTACATATAACACTACGGCTCTACGCAGCAGGAACTGCACTGATTTGAGTTGCGGTCCGATTCAATCCCTGATGCTGCTGAGAAACAGGCCCCGGCGCTTGCAATGTTTTAATCAGGGGGATCTGTCTGCTCGATATACAGTAGTCACATACCCATTCCACGTTGCTTTCTTTTCTGAACAATTCGTACGCATTCTTTGACAGACCCGCACACATTCTGTGGTATGCATTGCTGCTACATCCGCTTAAACATGTGAGTCTATCATCACCTTCAAGTATATCTTGCCTGCAGATTGCACAAATGGCTATATTAAGGTGAGTGATTGGTGCATTAACATTCGATGTCACGGGTGCTGCTTGTAGATTCGATGCACTCATTGGATTATTCGCGAACATCGTCGAATTGCTTGAATTACTTTGTCGGCTAGTTGAAATTTGAGAAAACTGATTGTTTCTGTTATCGTGAGTGTTTTTATTTGCAGCATTAGATTTACTAGAACTTTTTGGGTTAGATTTTGATTCCAATGAAGCTCCACCTTTATCGCCAGACTTTTGAACTGACGGTGACGAAGGGTGCATTTGGCCTGGCTGCGTTAGATTGACCGCAGATTCTGAAAAGGATGATCGGATGGGACTACTTGCCGATGACTTCATGAAGGGAGACTTTAATGGATCACCGTTATATCCAGTTTGAGGGCCCATATCTGGCTGCCCCATTTGGTTCGGATACGGTACATTTGGATACGCAAACTGTCTGGGACCTGGGATCCCAGGTGAAGATCCTTGTCCAGTGTACATTTGTACATGATTAGAATTTGACATATATCCTCCCGGTAATCTAGGAGGTCCATAACTATTCCCCATTGGGTCGAAATTCGATGCGGCGTTTTGAGGATAGTTGAAAAAAGATGAAACTTGTTGAGTACTCCCTCCTCCACCGCCTGGTATGTCAAAATCAGTCTCAAAGGGATTCTTAGCAACTAGATCTTCTTTAGGAGTTGGAGGTTGCATTCCAGTCATAGCAGAAACCAAAACTAAACACAGCGGTTCTGAAATTAGAAAGCCTCGAATTATTTTGACGATACAAAATACAGCGCGGTCATGTGTTGAATTGTGTCAGCTTTGCTAGCTAAAAACTCAAATTACATGCAACTCAAGGTAGAGGAGGCACATTGGAATCAATTGCATTTCCAACAGTCTAGACTTTGGTTTTCATCTGCAAATTACTACAAAAACATGTACCTCATTTTTATTGTTACATGAGTTAAGGACATATGTAATTCAGCGACTACTTTAACTTTCGCCGTGAGTGCCCAAAAATGCTATTTGAATCTTAATTTCTTATTCTTCTTTTTAACATACTGGACTTAAAATAATCTATGCACATAGACCACCTCATTTGTCCTATAACTTTCGCGCTAATCTAATGCTGCAACCTTTGATACAAAATCCTGTGGCGTTTCTACAAAGTCATAATAACAAAAAAGTCTGTTTAAGAACAATTTCATCAACATTTAATGAACAAATTTATATACGCCCAACTGCAAACTTTTTTTCTGTTCACATTGTCCGATTCTTACGAAAATTGGCATGCTGACTAACTACGCTATGACATACACTATTGGTCTCGATACATAACCACTAAATGTCCATTTTTTTTGAGCAAATAGAAGATACTTAGACTCTTACCCCCTTAAGCTTCCCAAGCCCAGCAACAATAGCGAACAATTTCCGAATAAAATTAACCTTTTTTCACTTCACAAAAGCTTAGAGAAAACGCTGAGAAAGTCAAATGACAACCATTTTGGCTTGGGTAAGTCTTCCTCTCGTCTGCTACCTCTACACGATAACGTAGCCTCATCAGTAGGATCATGAACCACTTCAAGCAAAACTTTCTGGCTCACGAGGATGGAACATACAATGATACGATGACACTTTGATTTGCTTCTGCACATGATCAGAGCTACACTCTATGAAACAATCAAAATTTGATTTCGAGTATTTACCAGTTGTCTGAAATTGTCAGTTTTCACAATCTGCATTAAATTTTCCCTATCTTTCGAACAAGCGAAAAAAGAAATTCCAGCGATTTGAAATATTTCCAGTATAGTGGAAATTTTTCGTGTGAAAATTTTTACTATGCACGACTGTTTCTTATCATTTTCCGCAGTTTGGCAAATAATTGTGGATGGTGAAAAATGGCAGTTACAGACCGTCAATAAACAAATTTTGATGATTTAATAGAGACTAGCTCTGATCATTTGCTCTTGGTGCACGGAATTCTAGTTTATACTTGACAGAAGCGAAGCTGAAGCTTCGAGAATATGAGCGAGAAAACGGCAAGATTCGGATGCACAAAAGCTTTAAAGTGCACAAAAACTCAATCTTGCTTGTAATAATTTGGATTGAAAGAAACTAAAGGCCGCCACACTAACTTTGCATGTATTGAATGAGACTATATTGAACCAAATTGCGTATAAATTATGCATTTCGAAAATCTCGCGAAATATATTGAGAGTTGAAAAATTTCTGAAATTGGAATTTATTAATACTAACTACCGTGTAACTCACCTAGGTGCTTCAAGCAGATTATATAATACATAAACCAACGAAAGGCTTGCAACCGTAGCAAAAAACGGGGGCATCCTACAACGCTTTTGATAAAAAAACTTCAAAAAGTTCTTATTAAACTAAAAAGGTCAAATCTCCAAAAAGACCGGGTTTCAGATCTGCGTTTTTTGAGCTTCATTTAGAGTGAAATGCGTTGAAAAGTCATATTTCGAGCTCAGATATAAACTTCCTGAGAGTTTCTTGACAGAGCCCCGTAAAATAGTGATGAGAATTTCAAGCCTCTGAGAAAACACTGAGATCACCCCATCATACGGTTGAACTAAAAGATTTCGGAAAGCTATTTTTAAATCATGTTTTTGGTTTTTTTTTATTGAAAAACATCATGTCTTAGAATCTAAAACGATTTTAGCACTCACATTCGCAGGAAAGCTTTGCAACCCCACAGACTATACTGGCAGCATCCAGCTATAGGGTTGCAAAATTCCAATTTTGTCAAACTTATATTTCTCAGTTTTAAAAACTTTTGAACGAATAAGAAAAACGTCATATCTCGGAAAATAAAAGCATTTAACCAGTCAAATTTGGAAAAGAAAATTACAATCCTTGAGAGTTCCCTCAATGCACCCAACTACGAGGTTAATTCTTGAAATTTTTTAAACTCAATTCTTCTGAAAAAGTAAAAAAAAAATCATGAAAAACGTCATATCTCAAAAGCTACAAGGAATTGAGCAGCCATAATAAAAAACATGGCAAGGTAGTAAAGTCCGCATTTAACTATACAATAGAGTAGATAGAGAAAACAGCGTCGCATTACAATTGCATGCGCAGAAAATTCAATTTTTCATTGAAAATTTTTCACTGATTTCAAAATAATCTAAATGTTTGAACTTGATCATTTCAAATTCTTGTAGATTGTTATACACTAGAATCAAAAAGCAGGTTTTCTATGAAATGAAATCCTTCTAGAATGAAACAAGAAAACAATTTCAAACGAATAACGCGCATGGTTTTGAACAACGTCGAAAAATGGCACAACGATCTACAATGAAAGAAACAAGAGCACTAGTTTAGAAGTGTGGTCCCGCCGTTTAAGATGAGACCCTATTAAAAGCTCGTTTAGAAAACTAACTCGCCAGATCACACCTGAGTACTTCAAGAAGACAAAACCAAAAGGAAATCGTGATATGACTTCTTTGTCAGGTTTGCCACTTATGTTGTCTATAAAAAGGAATTATCAAAAAAGCAAATCACTGAAACTAATTTACATTAGTGGACAAACTAGAGATCATTTGCTGTCGGCCGATGTTAAGGTAGGTTTTTACTCTCTAAAAAACCCAAGTTTAAAGACCATGTTGGCCAATATTTACTTCGAGTTTTAAAAAAAAAGATTTACATCGATCGACAGCAATTGATCATGATTGCCCACTTAAATACCTCCGGGTTTGAAAAAACTAGTTTTGACTACCCTCTCAAATACCTCCGGGATTGAAAAAGCCAGTTTTAATCATCCGCACTAAGTTTTGTATCGTAATGAACTCTTACTCGAATAAGCTGAGTAAAAAAGTTGTTCATGCGGCGTGCAACATTATCAGCGAGAAAATTGAAATAGTTGGTGTGACAACTTTACTAAGTCAACCGTTTCTTACAAATTCACGCGTTATGAAAAACTTAGTGCGGATGATGAAAACTGACGGAAAAATCTGGTAAATGCTTCAAATTAAAAATTGTGACTTTCAGAAAGGGAAACTCAGATAATTTGCTGTCAGCCGAAGTAAAAATTTAAGCCAAAAAATTCACTTAATTACTTAATTTATAAGTCACTTAAAAACAGACATTTAACTGACCCAAAACCTCAATTTGCAGTAAATTTTGTCCACTAGTGTAGAAACTACTTTTAAAACTTTTACGTGGGACCATTGGTAGTTATACGACACCAAATTTTATACCGAGGTTTTTTAACGGGACCATACTTCAAAAAAGTCCCGAAATCAGATATAAATTTCACCTTTCCCGACCAATAGTAAATGCAGATACCAGAACAGCAACTCAAGGATCAATTAATCGAAAGGATTGAAAAACTTATTCTTCTGAACATTTGCAAAGTTTTCCCTAAAGTTCATTATATCGCTTCCCATTGACAATAATAGTTCTTTTCTGGAAGCACGCGCCTGTTTCTTATTTATTTATAATAGACTGTCAAGGCTTTCTAGGGTTCTGCCAGGAGTTGAAGTAATTAATTATTTTAGCAATAAGTCAATTTCCATTGTAACGACACGGAAGAAAAACTCCGATTTTGAAAAACGAAAAATTGTAACTAAAAAAGAATTCTCCATAAAACTTGACTTTTTGAAAAAAGGATTCATTCAAATGAGAAAATAACGGAGAACACATTGCTCTGAAAATTAACTTGAACACTTTAGTTCGATGAAAAAATAGCATCAGAAATATTACCCATACACGATAATTAGATTGTTTGAATAAGGTGATGTTTTCATATGAATTTAAATAAACCACACAAATCTTTTCATGACTTTCCACTCAGCCCCCAAGCAAAAAACAGCCCCTTAATTGCAAAAACACAAGTTATCGATGTTTTCAATAAGAAGTTTTGTATCAGGAGGCTCAGAAAATATAACAAGAAAGACTCATATTTACCTTAAAAAAATTAATGCAAAGGTTCATAATTGTGTTGCAGTCAAAACTTCAAACAAAATTAGAAATGTATAAAAAATTGGATAACATTTATTTAATTTCCTAACAGGAAACTTTTTGTTTTTTAAGCTTTTAATTCGTCGTTCTAATGTGAAACTCAATTTTGAAAAAGCACAACCCAGAAAATCGTGTTTGGCTTTCCCTCGAGGCAGCAAACTTTTGGCATATTTTTATGTCTCGACATTTATTTAAATGGATGATTGATAAATTATGATATGAGAATGTAAAATCGTCACTTTAAAGGTTTTCGCACAATTTGTGCATCGTTTTGGTTTTTCAAATGAAATATAAAAAAATTATCATAATTTTTGTTTGACGTATAGATATTGATGATTAACAGTAACAATTGAAAATCCGACCTCAGCCAATAATGTGTTACATTCGCCCGGAAGTACATACCAATGGAAAAAAAGCTGGATTCTGAAATGACGGGCTAGCGTATAAGTACAGCTTCACATGCTTTTAACCGTCTCTATGTAACATTCGCCCGGAAGATACATATCGACGGATAACAAAACTAAGTCTTAAGACGACTGGCTAGCGTCTAAACAGAGCTTTGCATGCTTTTCACCGTCTCTACCAAGCCAGTACTTTTCGGTGGTCTTTCCTACATCGGGTCGACAAAAACGTTACTGCTCTCCGGCTTCGACCAGAACGCTCAAATTAACTGAATTACATGCAAAAATAGTGAGCTCATGGCTGGGTCTCAGTATCCCCAGACCACGAGGTCACTCCTAAAAACAGGGCTACTACTTATCATATTACTATTGTTTTTGTTCAGTAGATAAAAATCATCATCTCCATCGAAGATGGATCAACCCTTTCCCCCCTACTTCTAGCTCCTCATTCTTGTCAAAACGAATTAAGATCTTAATTAAATTCAAGTCAGGACATGACGGATGCTAAAATTCAATATAAGTTCATAAAAGTCCACGTCCCGAGACCCTTCCGGATTCTTGAATCCGGTGAATCAAGCTTCTTAATATCCAGTTCACAATAACTCGGAAGGCTGGGTTTTACCCTTCACCGTTGCTCGCAACGGCCTTGCAACTATTGTAACAGCACAATAGTTGCAACTCGGAACGTCCTCTGCTGCTCGGTAGTTCGTTGTTGTTTTTTAGTCTCGATTTTCGTACTGTTCGTAATCGCAGATAAAGTTGTTTTGTTTCTTTCTGCTATTTTAGCTAAAATGGCCGTCTCTGACGTTTCTCAGAAATATGACGTCATAATTCGAATTTTTAAAAATTAGAATTCCAGAATCTTCTAGCCTTCACCGTTTGGCTAATCGTTCAAATAACGTCCTTATCCGTTCTAAATCGCCAATCCGGAAGGCTTGCTGCTAAAATACCGAATTCTGCAGAGACTGCATTTTGGCCATTCTGGTCGAATGTCACATACTCCCCGGACAGTCCGGTCAATGTCCTCATTGAATCGCGCAATGTTCTAAGTGGTTACAGTGTCATCGAACAGAATTTACAAAATGCACGAAATTACTTTTACCTACGTCACATCGACTCACTGCAGAATATAAATGGCATCATACTACATCACTATAGCCTTCAAATTCTTTCATTAATCTGCACATTGAGGATATGACTTAAGATAAAACATATTTTCTGACTTCCAGTGTCAATATCCCGATTGAAACTTTTTCTCCTAGATTTAAAAGGTGTTGGCTTGCAGGACAGTCCTGCCAACCAACAAGCTAAAATTATCCTACTATGCTCCTTCCCTTCGGAAATCTTGCTTGTTTATTGTCCTGAATATTAAAACTAAGAAACTTTGTGGTTAGAAAGAACAATGCAACAACCTCCCTCCTCAAGAAGTTACTCAATTTTTTCATGTCACCACAAAGTTATCAGTCTTCCTAAGTGATTAAAAACAATCATGCAGGCTGGAATATTTAAATATACTCTTCCCTCAAGCCTCTCTAAATAAATAATAAGTGAGTGTCTCTAAAGCCACTTCAACTAAAACCAAAATGCAAATTTATAAATGCAACAATTTCCAAACTCAACTTAAATGTTTCAGTTTTCAATTACAACTTGGTTGCTTGGTTTCTCACTTGAGTTTTTCACACACATAAAACAATTCTGAGTTTTAACTTTTCTTCATCATCCCTTTGTTCTCTTCTTTTTTCGTCGTTTAGAAGTTCTAAAACTTCTAAATTCTTCTAATTTTCTTTCTTGTTGCCTCTTGTTTTCTCGACCATTCATCAATGCTCCATTTCCTCCTCCTGTGACGCTGACTCTGCACTCTCGGTCTCCGTGTCTTGTAGCACGTCATTGACTATCCTGACGCTGTTGGAAGCCGTCCTCCAACACTTCTGCTCTTCCACCCTCTGTTTACAGCAAGGTAGGGGATCCACGTTTGATTCTCTGTTTCTACAGAAGCTGTTGTGGAGACACAACGCCACGTTTCTTTCCAAATCTTCTTTCAGCATCTCTGCCCTCTCACTTCCACTACGCTCGCTCGTCCTGGAAATTCTTTTCACAGCGGTGGTCACTGCATTCCGATGGGTCACGAAAGCTCGCTTGAAAGCTCCTGCCCCAATGTCCAGCTGATATTCACTGTACACTCTGCCATGTTTCGACATATGCTTTTTCGCATACTCGTACAACCATGCAGTCATGTTAGCTCTGAACCATGGCATCAATCGTTTTCTTGCCCATATCTTCTTCACTTCCATCGGAATGTTTAGAACTTTGCACATTGTCTCAAAAAGATCTAAATCTTTTAGACAATCTAATTTCTGCAATTGTTCTCTCGTCGGTGCCTCCTGTCTATTATTTTCTCTCACATGAGCTTCCAGCCATCGTATCGCCATCATAACTCCCACTATCACTATTGTTATGGGCTGTGATGAATCTGGTAAACCCATGGAGAGCAGCTCTCCAGAGTCCCAGATCAACACCAGATTACTACGCTTGGGATACCACCAGGTCTGCAGCAAGCAGTGGCAAGGAAACTCGTCATGTGTCAACATGATGCTCCTCCAATTCCGTTTTCCCGAAGCTTCCAGCAATGGCTCCACTTCCATCATCACTCGGTGGATCTCATCATTCTCATCTACTGCATTGTAATCTGTGACAGTTGATCCTCTCTGTTTCTGTTTTTCAAAGTCACTGAAGTTCCCGCTCACATATCCCATGAACTTCTTTCCTAGTATTGACTCCAACTCCTCTTTGGTTCTTTCTGGAACTGCTGAGAAAATCTTACACAGTAACTCGTAAGACTTTTCAGACATTCTTGCCAACCTCACACACTTCGGCACTGAAAAGGCTTGATCCACAATCGTTCTTGTACTCTTCACATCCACAGCTACGAAATGTACAGGATACTTGCTCTTGCACATTGGAGCCAACATTGAACCCACCAAATATCGTGCTCCTGATGGTCTACAAAAAGTTTCGCTGTGTCTGATGTTCATCTCCGTTTCGATTGCTTCCCTCCATTTTCCTATATACTTCTGCTCAGTCTGCAGAACTCCTGGGAATACTTCTACGCTGATGGCTGTGACCATCTCATGTTTCTGTTCTAGATTCAATAGTGACTCTAAAGAACCAAACATGCTGTAGAATCCTAGTGCTGTCACTAGATTCACATCGGTTCCTCCATGGCAATCTGCTATCAGTTCCGTTTCCGTTCTTGCTTTCATCACTACATTTCCAAACAATACCGTCAACTGCTTGTGTTGTTTCTCCAGGGTTTTCACACAGTCTAGACTTCCACAAACGTGACCCTCTAGTCCACAGACTTCCGCCAGACAGCTACCAGGTTTGACCCAGTCTTCTGGTCCCCAGCCAGGCAACTCCACTCTATCTTCTCCGTTGCTCTTAGAGGCTGTTGTCATCACATTATATATGATGTTGAGGTCACGCAGGTTACAGTCCACATTCAGTTCCCTCTGTATGTCCTGTGTCGCCCGTAATATTGAGTCAGCGTTGGGACTAGGACACCACGATGGCTTCATCAATTCCCACACTGCCATCAAGCTCGTTCTCAGTAATTCATCTGAGAATCCCAACCCAAATTCCACTCTCTTGTCGGATTTTGGTACTGAAGGTGCAGTCACCTCTTCTTCCAAGACCAATCCCAATTTGGCCTGTGGATTGTTAACGCTCTTAGTCGTCACAATTCTGGACGTCCAGAATCTTAGTAACACCGCCTGCTCATAATCAAAGAAGCAATCACGTATGTCTTCACTCAGGAAAGGATTGTATGCCATCCCTATAATCCCGGATACATAGCTATATGACTTCTTCTTGATCGGTCCACAGTATTCACTGGATTTCGGCAATGCTCCCATAGATTCTTTAGTGAGCCTCAACTCCTTGTTTGAGAATCTCCTGATCTCGTCTATCTTTTTCATGGGTTCCAATTCTTCAGGTTCTTTCATGTTCACCCTCATCGGTTTACTTTGCTGCATATCCAGCATTGCTAGCAAGAACATGGCTTTCGTTCGCTCATCGCCTTCCCTCAACATTTTAACACAAGTGTTTAATGCAGGTACTGAA